TGTGCAGGTGTGCATGTGGGCATTTGTGTGTGTGTAGGTGTTTTGTGTGCTTCTTTGTGTTTGCATGTGTCCACATGTATGTGTATTGTGTGTGTACACGTGTGCTTGCATGTTGCATGTGTATTGTGCATTTGTGTGCATGTATGAGGTGTGTGAGCACGTGTTTTGTGTGTTTTACATGTGTGTTGTGTGTGGGTGCACACTGTGTGAACACTGCTTCTATGTGCATGTGTGTGCTTTGTGCATATGTGCATACTGCGTGTGCGCACGCGGATACATGTATGTGGTACTGTGTGTGTGTGAGTGTGGATGCCTGTGCGCCTTTCCTTCTGTTCGGTTCTAATGGGAACAGCCTGCACAGCAGGTTCAGGGCACCCCCACCTTTCCTGTCCCTGCACACTCGGTCCCCAGCTCAGGCTCTTGGAGGAAATCTCACCGAGCATGGCCTTCCGGCCTCCCCAGCAGCCTGAGCTGACACTGACAGAGGCCTGGTGGCAGCTGCAGCCTTCACCCAGCCCCCATCACAGCCCCTCCCTTGAGGGGAGACTCCTCTCTCAGCTCCCATCCTGGAGGCCAAGGGCAGAGCGGGAGGAAGGCGCCTGTCCTGCAGAGAGAAACCGCCCTGCCCCCAGCAAGCAGCTCCTCGTCCCTCAACCCCCAGCTCTCCTGTTGCCTCCTCATCCCAAGCTGGCACTGCCAGGCACTTGTGCCTGCATCTCTGTCTCAGCCCCTCTCAGACAGCCACAGGCAGCCTTGGCTGGCAGGACCTCTGGGCTTGTGACCCCAGCACCGTGTCAGCTTGGGCTGCCTACCATGACACTTCCCACCGTACCCACCCACAGGCCTCTGCACATGTGGACAGGATGGGGCTGTTCTCATGTGCATCACAAGCGGCTTCCTAGGAAGAACTGATCTGGGCCGGAAGCCGCAGACTGATGTCATTCTGCACCAGGAGACCCCGCCAGACCCCTGGGGACCCCAGCACAGCCCTGGCCTTGCAGACAGTGATGCCTCCTCTTTCAACTGATTTTACAAGCGCATGAGCCCCAAAACTGCTTATGGTAAAGAAACTGCTGGCGTCCGGCTCTGTGTCTCCCCATCTCAGTGCACCCGGCTGGACACCAGCTAACCAGGGGTGGGGGTGTCGGGGGGTCTCCCACAGCTCGGCAGCACACAGCCCAGCCCTGAGGCTTCCGGAGCCAGGTCCTCTGCAGATGTTGGCTGCAGCCGCTTCCCACTGTCTTGAATGAAGGTGACCTTTAAGGCTGCTGTTCACAAGTCTCCTGCGGCCAAGGTCTCCGCAGCCAGGCAAGTCCTCTGCTGCCACCTGGTGGCGAGTGTTAGGCACGCTGGTGATGATTGGGAGGAGCTGGGGCTCCAGGCTCCCTGCGGCACTCCTCAGTCCCCTGCTTCAGCCGACTGGCAAAGATGGGCATCGAATACTCAGAGGGGTCGATGGATCTGCCCGCAGTCACCCAGCAGGTCACCAGCAGAAAGGGACCAGTGCCTCAGGTTTCCTCAGCACCTCCCAACTTTCACTTACGCCTGACATGGCAGTAATCATCTGCCCAGCAGCCCTGAGTCCTGGCTTTGGGGCCAAACAGACAGCACCTGGCCCAAGCTCTCCCCAGCTGGGGGACACAGGGCAGCTGACTCCATTTCCAAACCTGGGTGTCCTCAGCTAACAATAGAAACAGGCTACAGGCTGCTGCAGGCTGCGTGAGGATGGCCGTTACCAGCGCAGCGGGCACAGGGACTGGCATACAGCAGGTGCTCCATTCATGCTTTTCCCGCTGCTGCTCATGGTGGTGATGATGCTTCTGAAGACGGTGATGCCTGAGGCGAAAACAGGAGCAGAGGAGAGCATGGATCTTTTTCACTCCAGAGCCACGTAGCTACGGCCAAGTGTCGCGGGCGGTGGGACAAGGGACACCCCTCTGGAGATCCAGAAGCCGAGCCCCCAAGCCTGGAGAGGAAGCTTCCGGTGACCTCTCCCCACTGCCCTCACCTGAGGAGGCACCACTGTCCCACAGGACCTCCCACGTGTGCCTGATTGCAGGGCTCACCTGGAGGCAGCCACAGCCCATCTCACTGGACTCCACCCTCCAGAATCTAAGTCTTCCGGTGTGAGCGAGGCCAGGGAATCTGTATTTGCAAAGTGCTGCGGGTGGTTCTCCCAGCCTGGCAGGCTTGGGAAATCCTGGCCAATCCCATCTTTCCATGCTGGCCATGTGCCCTAGAGTGGACGGGGCTGGCGCTGGCATGCAGGGCTCTCTGGGGAGTGCCCCTTCAGCCTGAATGCTTACCAGGGAGTGGTGGGGCCGTCAGACCAGAGGAGCCTCAGACGCCAGGCCACGCAATGGGAAGCAGGGGAGATGCCCTCCGAGGGCCTGGCAAGGGGGAGGGAGGCCCGGAGGGCAGGGAGCTGGCAGCAGTGTCCACAGAGGAGACCTGGCACCAGGTAGGCAGAGGTGAGCTTGGAAAGGAAGTGAGGGGAGCAGGCATCCTCCTGGCTTCAGAAGCTCTCCCAACAGCAGCCCACGGGGCCCGTGTGGGGCAGGAGCCACCACCAGGGAGCCTTGGCAGCTGCTGAGATTCCAGGAAGTGGCCGGACACCGTGGCCAGAGCTGCGCCCTGCATTCCGGTTCATATCCGTGTGGCCTCCTCCCCTGGGGATGGGTGCGGGGGTCATCTGGCAGACTTGCTGAGTCTGAAGTGGTCTCAGGTGCAAAGCAGCCCCAGGCCCCAGCACGGGCAGCTCCTGAGCCTGGGCCCATTGAGATGGCTTCAGGCAGGAGCCGGAAGGTCTCCCGGCCTTGCCGTTGGCTGGCTGAGGCCTCGCATGAGCCCCCCGAGCCTGTCTCGTCCGGACAAGGAGGTGATGAGGCTGCTGTCAGGTGAGCTTGGTGCCTGCAGGGAGTCTGAGTGCCCTTGACCTGGCAGTAGCCATGATGGCAGTGAAATCACTGGTCAGCAGTTGCAAGGAGGGCTGCTCCAAAATTGGCCCCATGGCACGAGGCGAGAAGGCGGGGCTGTGGGTGCAGGGGTGAGGAGGCGGGGCTGTGGGTGCGGGGCGAGGACGTGGGCTGTGGACAGCCTGGTGGAGTCAGAGGCAAAGCAGCCCCAGGCCCCAGCCGTCCGTGCCCCTGAGCTGAAGAACCGCCCTGGCAGGGCGTGATTATAGAGCCAAGAAAGTATAGCAGGAGGCAGCACCCGCCCCGGAGGGGAGAGGGGGAGGGGCCACACTGCCAGTCTCAGTGTGGTCTGTGTGGGGTGTGTGTGGAGTCTGTGTTGTGTGTGTGTAGAGTGTGTGAATTGTGTGGAGGTGTGGAGTCTGTGTTGTGGTGTGTGTGTGTGTGGAGTGTGTGGATTGTGTGGAGTTGTGGAGTCTGTGGTGTGTTGTGTGTGTGTGTAGAGTGTGTGGATTGTGTGTTGTGGAGTCTGTGGTATGTTGTGTGTATGTGTGGATTGTGTGTTGTGGAGTCTGTGGTGTGTGTGTGTATATGTAGAGTGTGTGGATTGTGTGGAGCTGTGGAGACTGTGGTGTGGTGTGTGTGTGTGTGTGTGTGTGTGTGTAGTTTGTGGATGGTGTGGAGTTGTGGATCCTGTGTTGTGTTTTGTGTGTGTGTGTGTGTGTGGAGTGTGTGGAGCTGTGGAGTCTGTGGTGTGTGTGTGTGTGTGCATGTGTGTGTGTGTGTGTGGAGTGTGTGGATGGTATGGAGCTGTGGAGTCTGTGTTTGTGTGTGTGTAGAGTATGTGGATTGTGCAGAGTTGTGGAGTCTCTTATGTGTGTGTGTAGAGTGTGTGGATGGTGTGGAGTTGTGGAGCCTGTGTTGTGTTGTGTGTGTTGTTTGCTGGCTGTGGCATGTGCTGTCTGTCACTGGGCATCACGGTGGGAGCCCAGGCTAACGCCCGTCCATTGCTAATTCTTTGAAGCCTGTGGTGGGTTCTCCCGGGCGGAGGCAGCACCCCATTGCCTGCTGGCGTCGTCAGGGCACCTTGCCTCTGGCCTCCTGGGTGGAGGGCGCTGTACTTGGCTGAGGGGCTGGCAGGGCCCACCCTTCCCTTTCTCCCCCACCGCGTGGCGTCTTCTTCCCCTCAGGTCCCCTCTGGCCACCCAACCCCCCTCGGTGAGCACACCAGGTGGTCAGGGCCCTCCAGGCCGGGTCTCCCTCCCCAAGGTAGGGTCTGGCAAAGCTGCTGCTGGGACACGCAGGGCCCAGTGTCTGGTCCCCGGAGGGGACAGAGCAAGCTGGCCACCTGCAGCTCGGGGCTGCAGCGGGTTGTCCGGTGCAAGAGCACGAGTGCCCTTAAAGCACAGCCCCGAAGGCAGCAGGACAGCCCCACAGACCCCAGAGAGAAGAAGACCACCCTGCAGAAGGAGGCCAGAGCTGGCATCCCACCTGGTGCCAATGTGGCCACAGAAGGGAGCCCAGCCTCCTTCCATCCCCTCCTGCCCCTTCCAGGTCCCTTCCTGCCCCCAGCTCTCGGAAGCTCTCCCCAGTCCCTTTCCCATCAGAGGCTCTGCCCCCAAAGCCCTCTCCTTCTGCACAGTGTTGGGGGAGGCACTTGAGCTCTGGAGAAGGAAGGGACACAGGTGACACTGTCACTCGTCCCTCGGAGGCCACCGGGTCCAACGGGAGCAGGAGACCCCGCTGTCCTCCCTTCCGGCGCCCCCCTCACGGCCCCAAGGAGACAGCAGCAGCAGACGGTGAGTTGCTTGTGTCACCTGCTCTTTATTGACTGCCGTGGGCTGCACGCTCCTGGGCATCCCATGTACCCAAGAGTGGCAGGCACTACATGGAGGGGCTGGAGGGAGACAGTCTGAGAGAAGAGGCTGCGAGAGCACAGACGCACGGAGGGGAAGCCCAGCCCCACGGCCACACGCCCCGGGAGGTGTGGGCAGGGCCAGCGGCGAAGGGAAGCTGCCTCATGTTGGGAGCACCTGGCCAAAGGTCACCCCCTCCTCCCAGCCCCTCAACAGAGCCAGGCTGCTATCCAAAGGAGTGTGAGGTGCGGTCACTTCCGCCACTGGCCAGTGGAGGGGTCTGGGACATCCTGAGACCCTGAGCTCTCCAGGCTGCTCTCTCAAACCCTCATTCCATCTGAGAAGGTGGAAAGGAAAAACAGGGAAGAAAGGAAGACAGACACCCCGCCCTCAGGGTGCTCCCCCGATGACGGGCCTGGGCTGCAGGGGAGCCGGCCCAGGAGACGCCTGCTTAGGACGAGGGAGCAGAGCTGGGCTTCTCCTCCCGTGACACAGGGATGGCTCGCTCGCCGTGGGTGGTGTCCAGGCCAGTCTGGATCTTGGGGCCAGTGAAGGTCAGCATGCCGTCAGCGGACAGGGTGCAGGACAGGGCCGTCTGGTCCACATTGGACGGCAGGCGGTAGCGGCGGTGGAACTCCCGGGAAATGTAGCCGTGGTC